GATGAATGTATTGGTTTCACAATGATGCATTATTATTTTATTTTTTGTTTGTCATCGCACGGAGCATCGTTTTGGAGCAGTAAAAAAGCTTTGATTTTCAACTTGTGGGTAGTTTCTGACAGAAAATTGGATCTAGTTAGTACTTACAAAGTCTAAAGTAAATAATATCATACAATTTTCAAAAATATTAAAGTAAAATATGATAGCTATTTTTTTTTACAAAATAATAATATTGAATAATATCAACAAATTTTACAATTTTTTTTATAATTATACTTTACAAAATATCAGTGTCAGACGATAGCGGATCCAGAAGATCCTCACTCGGGGGAAGGTGAATTTTCAAAAATCGGACAACCTTTTTTCCACCTAATAAAAAAAAATATAAAAATAACTTAAAAAACACGGCCCAGGGTACCTCCTTGTATTCGCAACTGCTGACAGGTTTGATGACTTACCCATTTTTCATTCATACTATATGCAATATGGCAATATGCGTATGTCGCTCAGTAGTTTAAAATATAACACTGCAGCTGTATTTATTATGGTTCTACATATTTTATTTCGTTGTATATAAACACTATACCTATAAAGAATTTTTGTTTTTTCTTTCTACTGTAGGTATACAGAATGTAACAGAAATAACTGACTAATGTAATAACTTTTGCTCTAATCAATAGTTATAACAAATTATTAATAGCCTTGAGAGTTCAGAGTTAAGAATAATAATAAAAATTAAATGCATTGATCAGAAGTTATTAAAGTATTATAGTTGATTCATTCAATTTTTCAGATTTGTCTGTTACATTGTATATAATAGATCGGCATTTATATTATGAGAATAAAAAAACATAAATTACCTTTTAAAAGACTTTAGGTAATATCAAATAATAGTTAAGCAAAAACTATGGGTTTATGTACCCGTTTTAAATCCTTAATATTTAATAAAACTTAAGTATTTAATAATTATTAAAACTTTTACCGTATAAATAATATATTAAATTGATTGTAAATACATAATTTTATCAATTGACACAAGTTCATCGACAGTTAGGTACTACCGTAGCAATTATTTTTATATGAATGTTTTCATTTTTTTACTCTTTGTTTTTTATTCTGTTTCTATTTTTATTTTTATTATATAAACAGAAACAGAAATTGTCAAATTGGTTTTGAATCAAAATTCATTACAATATAATCATGATCACAGTTAAATTTTTGGAACTGGATTTCTCTACTACTTTATAGTTTATACTACTTGGGCGAAACATAATAATATGTCAAATTGTCACACACGATATGCACTACATTATTCCAATGCTAAAAATTTGTATCGCTGTTAATGTTTATATAATATGCATATTACATACGAGTAAAAAGTGTACATTATGTGAAATAGGCACTGCAAATGTGATTAACAGAGTCGTATTTCAAAGAGTGTTGTAAAAATGTATTCTAATTTTATAGCGAGCATTGAAAATGTTAGTGCATAAAAACCTACAAAATAAAATACTATAATTACATTAAAAAAAAACTAAAAGCTTTAATCTCAGTTTGAAAATCAAAACTGAACAAGTTAGGATAGCTCACTCTGCGAGTGTGCTGAATGAACAAGTTCCAAACGTGTAATATTAATACAACTCAATAAATTATAATCCCAATAATTCCATATACAATGTATGTACATTGTGCAGTAACTACGGACAACAAATTAATACCTTAATATCAACAATCGTAATTATTTAGAGGTAACTAACGGACAGACGGACTGACCGACACAACAGCGATATAAGATGCTCTAAACATATGTTCAGAAACCTATAAACTCGAATTTACTTTATGTAACCTTTAAACGCTAAAGTGGGGGGGAATACTCTAGAATCTCCAAAAATTAAATAGAGTAGTCTAAATGTTTTTGGTATATTTGAAAGGGATTTTTAAATTTTTTTAGTACCTATAGAATTGCGTCATGCAATAAAAATAATATATCACACGTCACGAATGCGAAAAAAAATTTTAATTGTAATACTTGGTTGTCTTTACTAGAAACTGTTTTAAATTTTCAAAAAAGATTATTATATGAGAAATAGTATTATGATTGCAAACAATTAGTTTAATTTCATGATGACATTTATAAGTTTGTTTAAGTAGGTACCTACCTACATAATTTAATAATGATTTTATTAATTATCTTAATTGAAACTATAATGCTTTTTCGATTATTTGATAACTTATCTATTAATAAATGGAATCAAAGCTTTATATCAAAACGTAACTTGGGTTCAAAATCGAAAATCATAACTTGTAAAAACAATTTATCAGTACAAAATGTGTTACCACTTATCTAGGATGACACAATTAGTATGTCTTTGGACAATCTGACTCTTATTGGATGGAGGATACTATATTATTTGATTAAAAATAACAATTATATAATCATTTCCTCGCAAATCCCTAATTCCCTGGGACCCTCCTCGACAATTTTGGAGGTCCTGGTGTAGAGATATCATGGTAGCTACAACAAAGAGAGAATAATTGTGTTTATAAATTGCCCACGATTATACGCGACTTGTGTATAATATGGCGCGCGTATCGCCAAACCTATTCTACGTGAATAATCGTATATTATATTTTTGTAACAATTTATGTACGTTTATCTGTTTGACCTTTTCTGATTTACCTTTGATTTACGAAAACAAAAAAAAAAAAAAACGTTGACGTTAAATGTTTTACAGACACTCTCAAGTACATCGTAAAAGGTATACATAGACGATGGCGGCGGCGTAATATTAAGTAATAACAGTAACTAATATTATATTATAGTAGATTGGCGGAGCACGCGTACCTATATAATGTAAGAACTGTGGGTCGAGGGATGACTTTCGGGGGGGGGGGGCGGTCGGACGCAATGCAGGCCGCGGGTACCGGGACGGGGTCGATTTTTCGTACCATTGCGTATACAAAGTCGCAGTATTCTTTTACTCTCGAACCGCGAGCGTTCCAACACAAAAAAACTCTCTCGCCCCTCCGGCGAACCGCGTCGAGAGGAAAACAACTTTGACAAAACTCGGTAGCGATATAGAACACCCCCCCCCACCACCACCATTGTGAGGTATACATGCATACATAGTAATAATGAGCGCGTACGACACGCGTGTCACACTCGCGTTATGTGTATAGTAATAACGTACTTACGGGTCGTCGACGCCGAGTGGACGTTTTTCAAAAACCACGCGGCGGCGACCTCGGGTTTTCCGCGATTCCCGTACCCAACCCACACCCGACCCATGCCACAGGGCCGAGGCGGTACGATGTACGCGAAAACAACACTGTACAGATTAACCAGCGCGGTGATGCGGTGGTAGTGTATGTTTATTCGCCGTCTCAGCCCCCCCCCTCCCCCTACCCACACACACGCAAGTATTACCTATACGCACACACACACACACACACACACACACACACACACACACACACACACACCCGCGTATATACTTTTATCATGCCGCCCACAGATTTATCGACACGCCGCGACGCCACCGCCGCACCCACATCCACCCTATCGCCTCGCACCCGCCCTTCCGCCGAGACCACACGACCACCGCCGTCCTCCGCCGCCGCGCGGCCAGCGGCCCGAAGACACGCGGGTGTTGTGCCGGCCGCCGGGACGAGCGGGGATGATACCGGCAACGCCACGTCGGCGAGGGACGGCGAGACGCTACACGAGCGAGGGGAAGGCGCGGTGGCTCCCCGATTTTTTTCCCGTCCCGCCACACCCATCCCCAGCGCCGCGGAACGCGGCATGGTGTGCGCGCCCGCCCCTTTATCGAATTACCATTGCCGCCGCCGCCGCCGCCGCCGCCGGGATGGGGTCGTGAGTGCGTACGCGCACACATACGCGCGCGTCGACACACACCGGCGGCACCAGGCGCGACACGCACGCGCACCTCGGCCGCAGTCTGCGACGGCGACGGCTGCCGCTCTCAGGCCTCAGCTGTACGTCGCTATACGCCGCACGGCGCGCCAAGCGTACCTACACACACGCACACAAACACGCACACTCGGGCGCATATACGCATATCGTCGCTCGTGGAGTGTCGTCGTCGTCGTCGCCGCCGCCGCCGCCGCCGCATCGTGTTGTCCTGCCGCCGGCTCTCGTCCAACCGTCCGTCGGCGCATTGGTTGGTTCTCAAGTCGTACACAGAGGTACGTTGCGGCAGTCTCGTATCCGTCATATCCGTCCGCGGTCGTGTTTTTTTTTTCGTCTCACCGTTTACGAGAGGGCCACCCATCGCTGTTCACAATTTGGGACGACGGCACAACATCGCGAACAGTAAATATTATTACTATCGTCATAATGTATTATAACACGACGTACCTATACATATTAATATATTTTTTTTTTGTCGTTGTTGTCATCTATATGGCATCAACTTATTTGATGATTTGTTGTCGTTTTTATTTTCGTCAGGATTATAGCTCTTGAACAGTTTTGCACTTCGACTTCCCCCTCCCCACAATTATATCCCTCCGATAACCCTCAGATACGTCCGCTGACGCACCGAGATGCGTATGGGGTGGATGTGAAAGAGCATAGGATTCGTCGTCAGTCAACTCTGTCATCACGACGAGTATCTCTATTATACGTACACACAGTGTCCAGTATCGAAGGCTCCTGAGGGCGTAAGGTCTCACACGCGCCACGTGTACGTGATACATATTTTAACATCACCATTAATAGAATTACAACGATATAAAATGATTGTTTTCATCGTCTCTCTCTCTCTCTCTCTCTCTCTCCCTCTCTCTCATCGCGTTTCGCTTTTCCTGTTTTATCATCTCAGAATATACAATACCTACCCCTACGTCACTCGCGTTCAGTATTATCATCGTCTGTACACTGCCGATTGTCGTATTATTTGTTGGTTCCGAGTCGCACGGCATAATAATGTGTAACGATGAAAATATTTGAATTTCTTTTCGTTTTTATTATTTTTCAGTTGTGCTACGAAGAATATCAAAATGGCCAGCACGTCCAGCCCGATATCGGACTTTTTCCGCGGCCGTCACGTACTCATCACCGGTGGCACAGGGTTCATGGGCAAGGTGTTGGTGGAGAAATTGCTGCACTCGTGTCCAAACATCGCATGTATATACCTATTAATCAGGCCCAAACAAGGCCACGACGTCAAGTCTAGGCTGGATCAACTACTCAACGCTGCGGTAAAATAAAATGATAATATTAGCAGTACCTAATAACGTGTCGTTATGTTTTTTTCATTATTTATGTTTCTTTGACAAACTATTTCGGTTTATGTCGCTCGATGAGTAAACAATTGTAATCTTCGCACAGTTAATTTATAATTGCAATACTGCAGCATGCCGCATGCATACATATACATTTTTAAAAATAATTAAGACCATCTAATAAATCTTTCACGTTTTGGTTAAATTGGTCAGGGAATTGTTAAAAAAATAAACTACGATATATATAAATTTATATTTTATGTTATAGTTTATTCAAAACGCGTGCTAAATTTGAAAATAACACGTCAGTGTTTGGCAGCACTCGTTGATATTTTTATTCCAATAAAGGTCTTAGTTCATATATATTTAAAAAGCTCTTTTCTTGATTTGTGTTTCGTTTCCATGTATAATATATTTTATCCTGTGTTCTTTCTTATTAACTGTACAAAATTGTAGTTTTAAATGTATTACTTTGAAATCGTTTACCATTATTTTATTTCTTATTTTCCGATTTTTAATTAATAGTAATAAAAAATATATACATTGTAAAAATGAACACCTATAATATTGATATTCTGTACCTGCATAGTAATATTATTATGTGGAACGCAATGGTACATCGATGAAAAATCTATTTAAAAAGTAAAATTCGTAGCTACCCAATATTTTGTGGCTTCGATGGAAATTAACTAGAAATCTATTCTGACATCTCTTAGGTATTTTGCAAATGTAACATTACGGATTTCCTTATACTATATCACTGTATAAGATATTATAGATCAATCAAAATATCAAAAAAGTGCCATGGTTGTTTTGCAGAATACAGTTACTAATTACGCATCATTTTCAATGAACATAATAAAATGTTAATTTGTAGATGCAAATACTCAATAGACATTAATTATAATAAAATTGTTGATA